AAAAAAAAAAAAAAAAAAAAATTGAACAGATTTTTAAAATCATAATATATGCAAATCACGATTTTCCTTAGAGATTTATTCGGATTTCCAAATTGTTTGGAAATCACGATTTATAAAATCATGATTATTCGGATTTACATTCATATTTCCAAATTGTTTGGAAAAATATGAGATTTATTCGGATTTTGATTCTTTATTGATTACCAATATTAAAGTATTTGATGTTATTAATAAAAAAAACAAAAAAATCTGATTTACTATTTTTAAGAGATAATTAATGAAAGTGGCGGGAAATTGTTTCTAAATTTAATCTATATTAATCCTTATTATATAGCATTAACATGTATATTAACATATATGTTAACATATAAGTAACATATATGTTACTTTCACGTAAATGCTAATATATATATATATATATAAATTATTTCTAACAATTATTAGAAATATGATTGATTCTTAAAGAGAATCTTTAATTGACAATTATTAATTAAATATTTTATATTGTATTTTAAAGAATTTTAAAAATACGTATGGTAAGTGTATTTCTTAAATTAAGTGTATTAAGTAAGGTAAGTGTATTTCTTAGATTTATTTTGATTTTGATTCCATATTTTTGATTATATTCCAAAAAAAAAAAAATTGGATAAAAAATATATGCTAATAAATAGAGATTTTGTTAATTTACTATTTTTAGGCAATAATTAATGAAATTGGCGGGAAAGGATTTACAAAAGTGAATTATATTAATCCTTATTATATATTAATAGATGTGATGATAAAAAATAGTGTATATGAAAAGTTTGTGTACAAACATTCTTTCTCTCTAGGTTAGTTTGTTCGAAGTCTGTTTAGTTTAGGCAAAATTGCAAAATCCCCCTTATAAATAAACTCGTCCCCTATTCACCTCAAAAGCAGCAACATCGTCAGTGACTCCCGACATTGTGTCTAGCTCTTCCTAGATTACGACTCGTTCGTAACCTTAGCTCTGATACCAACTGTCACGGCCTTAGACAATTCTAAGCCAACCGTGCGGCACTTAGCGCTTCAACACCCCTTGTTGGTTGCTAAGTCAGTCTAACCTGAATGGTGAGCTAGAAGGAACTAGGCAAGAAGACCATTCTTTCTTAACCAAAGATGCAGAGAATCGAAACCAATGGCACTCCCAGCATAATAATTGTATTGAGATAGAGAGCACAAATTTGATCTACGATCACCCCTAGAAGCGCCTTTTCCCCGAGGATTTGACTTTACTTAAGAATATTGGGACTTCTGATCTGCCTCGACGAAGTTGACTTCACTTCGCTTCGCTTTTAAATATGGTCGATTTGTAAACGCACAGAGTCTAAGTGGCAGCTTTACATTGTTCGTAATCTTATGTGACAAACTATTACGATTTGTAATATGGCTCAGATAAAAGTTACTAATTTTATATACCAGATACTTAGGTTTGAATTGCCATAAATACACATTTTAATATATTTAAATTATTTCATAAAAATCTAACTATTTTTTTTTCATTTTATAATGTGCATGTTATCTCACTTTCCAAATTTTGTGTTTTGCCTATATTATTCTCTTATGTATTTGAAATGAAAAAAATTATAAATAAAACTAATGGTTAATATAAATTAATTTTCAAAATTTAAAATCATGTTGTTTATTCACTTAGTTCTTTATTATAAATTGTTATATACTATTCAACATTTATTTTTTTCAAATTCAACAAAGTATACAAACATTTTTTTTTTGTACATTTAATATATATTTTATCAAGCACCCGTGTAGCACAGTGGTATCATACTTGTATGTTCATTACATGACAATTTTTGCGGATTAGTCGACTTTTGTTATAAATTTTACGAACGAAAGCTCTTATTTTCATATTTGTTTTTCCTTAATTTTCATTCTGA